AAAAAAAAAAAAAAAAAAAAAAGAAAAAAAAAAAAATGGAAAAAAAAATGATTTACATAAACATTAATTAATGAAAATTAGTAGATATCAAAATGAACAAAAAAAAAAAAAAAGAAATAAAATAAAATAAAATATAATGAATTATAAACAAAAAAAAAAAAAAAAAATAAATAAATAAATAAAAGAGTATGATAATTTTATATGCATATAAATATTTGAAAATAAAAAAAAAAAAAACATTCTCTTTTTAAGCATTATATTTATTTTCTTTAACAACAGAAACTATGACTGTTGTATCATCTGGTTTTCCCATATTAAAATATTTTTTATATTTATCAAAAATAAATTCAGATATAGGTGTTAAAATAATTTTATCATTTGATTTATTTGATGGTATATCTTCATAGTTAACTTTATCAAATAAATGAACTTCTTTTTCTTGAGAATTTGAAGATGGGTTTTCATTAAAACTTTTTTTTTTAATACCTTTTTTATCTTCATCTGTATTTACTAATTTTGAGTAATTATTATTATTATTATCTCTATTGTTTTTTATTTTATCATTATATTTTATTCGTCTTTTTTTTAACAAAGTATAATTTAATTGTTGATTAGCTAGAATTGTTGATAATTCTAAAATTTCATCACAAGCCTTTTTAGTATTTAAATATATTTTATTATATTTATCAAATAGGATAAAATCCGATGGTTCATATAAAAATTTACTACAGTCTATTTTTTTTTCAACAATTATTCTCTTTTTTTTTTTTATATTTTTCATTTCGTTCATATTATAACTTATTCCTTCTCGGTTATTATGTACATTATAATCTGTTATATTTTCATTTATGGGTTCAAGAAAAGTGTTATCTTTATTTTCCCATCTTTCTAAATTATTCATTTTTTTTTTTCTCAATGATATAAGTTCATCATCAATAATTTGTTCCATAGTTGTTTGTCTTTTTTCATTTTCACATAATTTATTTAAATTGTTAAAATCTAAATCATCAACATATGAATCGCTTATTATAGAACTTTTTGAATTATTGTTATTTTCTATATATTCTATATTTTCATATAAATTTTTCTGTTTACTATTTTTTAATTCATCAGAGTGCACAGAATTTCTACTATCAATGTTATCACATTTATTTTTAATAACAGTGTTAGATAAATTATTAATGTTACTATAAACATTATAATTACTTCCTTTTTTAAATATAGAAACATCATTTTTTGTGTTGCTATTTTTATAATCATGAGGAATAGAATGTTCCTTTTTTTGCTGTACTTTATTATTTTGTTTATTATTTGATTTTGTTATATTTTGAACTTTATTCTTTATTTTAATAAAAAACTTTCCTTTTATTTTAGGAGGGAACTTTAATTTATTTTTAGCATAATTCAAATTACGCTTATAAATATTATTAAAAAAATAATTATATTTATTTTCTTTATTTGATAAATTATCTATTTTATTATGATTATCCATAATTATGTTTTTTTTTGCCTTTACCGAGTTATTATAAGTAGTATTTTTCTCAAGAGGTGGCTTATTCTCTTGTTTTTCTTTATGCATGATATTAATATCATCATTGATGTAATTTTTATTATCTTCAATATTCATATAACAACTATTTATTCTATTATTATTATTACCAGCAGTGGTAGAATTATTATTACTATTATTACTTATCTTATTATTATTATTACCAGTAGTGGTAGAATTATTATTACTATTATTATCATTATTATTAGCATTATTATTATCTTTATTATTATTATTATCATTATTGTTTTCTTCATTTATATCACCTTTTAAAAAATTATCAAAAGAATTGCAACTTATATTTGATATCCCATGTTTTATATCATTTTCAATTTTTATTTTAACATTCTCTCTAGAATTATTACTTATCTTTATATCGAAGGAATCATTTAAATGACCTGTAAATGTTTGTTTAAAGTTATTTATTTTATTAAAATTATTACTTATCGTTTTATTAAAGTTTTTTAATACTTTTTTATATTCATTATAAAAATTTATAAATTGTTTCAAGTTTACAAACTTATTATATTTTAAAACATAAAAGTTATTAAATATTATTTCCATAATATCATCATCATATAAATTATCAAAAAGTCCGTCACTTCCACTTATAATTATGTCATTATTTTTAATATTAATACTAGAATATTCACAATATTTTAAGCATTTTGTGATAATATCATTATATCTGTTCATTTTCATATTTCCTTTAAATGAATTATCTGATTTTGTATTTCTCAAATTATTAAAGTTTATAGGCATAAAAGTTATTTGATATGGGCAATTGAAATAATGTTGTTGAATTTTTGATTTGAAAATAATATCAAATTTACTTATATCATCATTATAAAAACGGAATCTGTAATCATTAAAATTATTGATATTTGTATTATTTATTTTATTTTTTTTTTTTATTTCGTCTTCTTCCTGTTCTAATTCACTTTTTTGTTTTTTTTCTTTTTCTGATTCATTTTTTTCTTTTCTTAATTCTTCCAATTTATCATTTTTCATTTTTTTTCTTTCTCCTTTTTCTAATTCATCCTTTTTATGTTCTCTACCTTCTACTATGTTCTCTTTTTCTTTTTCTTCTTTATCTACTTCTTCTTTTTCTTTTTTCATTACTTTTTCTTCTGTTTCCTTTTCTGAGTAGTTATTTTCAATTTTTATTATATTTGTTCTATCAAATTCAAAAAGATTTAACAAATTTCTATAACCACTATTATCTAGAGTGCTTTTAACAGAAATATTATTTCTTTCATTTTCTGAAAGGTCGTTATCTGTAGTAGAAGAGCAATTATTTGATATTATAGTTTCTGATTTTATATTAGAATTATCATAAAAATCATCATCTTCTATTCTGAATAATAAATTATCAATTTTATAACTCCTTTTAGAAAGATATTTTTCAAAATTTTCTAATATATCTTCATTTAATTGATCTTCAATATATAATATTATTTCTGAATCTTCTTTAATTGATTCCTTTATATTTAGATCACTCAAAAAATCATTATAGTAAAATTCTTTTCCTTTTGAATATGAATCATTTAATATACCTTTATTATTTCTTAATGTGTTATGATTATTAATATCTTGTAAGTTATTATTGTGAGAATTATTATGTGATACTTCAAAATTCATTATATTATAATTTGATTTATTTTCGTCCTTTTTATCATTCATATTTGTTTTTTCATTATTCACTACAATGTTATTACTATTATTTTCCTGAAGACTTTTTAAACTATAAATGTTATCATTTTTTTCAAGATTTTTTTCATCCTTCATAAAATACAAAATTTCTTCTGGTGTTTGAACTTTTATTTGAACTTTTTCTATACATTTATCTTTTAAATAGTTTTCTTTTAATCTCACAATTAACATTTGACAATCTCCTATGTTACATATATGCAACTTTTCTTTTTCTAATGCAGAAAATAAAAGTGTCGATGCTCCCAAAAAATTAGCTGAACATGCACTTCTACAAACTATTGGTTTTAATATTTCATCATTTTTATATTTTAAATTATATTGTTTAAATATCATTTTATTTTGACTCTCAAAAGTTTCATTATTAACACATCTATATAAATGTAAATTTAAACATTTTTTTAAAATTTCATTTGAAAAATTACTTACATTAATACCACTATTATTTATAGAGGAAACTCCATCAGCTATAGCGATAATATTATCACTGCATATTAAAGCATCTCCATTTTTATAATTTATATTGTTACTTTTTTTTTGATGAGGAATCGAATTTGCTTTATGTAGCAAAACAAATTTTTGATTTTTGATTGCATTGTATATTTTGTTCATTATATCTATATATTCAGAAGAAAATTTTTCTTTGTTTTCTAATTCAATAAAAGAACTAGAAAAATTCAAAAAAATTGCTTTATAAAAATAATTAGGAAAATCTATATAATCTATATCAAACATTTTATTAAAATTATTTTCATAATATGCATTCAAATTAATGTCTTCCACTTTTACTTTGTTAAAATCAGTCATTTTCATTTCAATGGAATTATTTCTATCATAATTATCAAAACCACAAAAATAATCATTTCCTATTTTGTTTTTGTTTATATAATTTACTCCATCTATCCCTTTATTTAAACTTTTTATTATCTTACAAGATTCAAAGATACTCTCTTCTTCATCTACAGAATTATTTCTTCCATCTACTTTGAAGCATTTATTTAAAAAAGAATGCATTTTTATATTTTCGTCATATTAATAATTAAAAATAAAATAAAAAAAAAAAAAAAAACGAAGGTAGGCAATACATATAGATTAATATATAAAAATATTACAAAAAAAAAAAAAAAGTGTAACCATATAATAAAATTAAAAAATTTTTACAATATATTATATTTTTCTATAATATTTTTAAAAAATTTTAGGAAAATTTTTTTTTTTCTATATTTTATAAAGATTCATTAAATTAAATAAAAAAAAAAAAAAAAAAATTATCTTTTTAGATATAATTAGTATAAAATTTTATAGAATTTTCTATAAATCAAAAACATTTTAAACTTTAATAAAAATTAAGTTTTACAAAAAAAAAGGTAAATAAATAAAAAATTTTAGTATTAAAATATATCACTAGGAACAATGTTCTTTTTTCATTTTTCTCTTTGCTTTTTTTTTTTTTTTTTTTTTTAAAGTATAATTTATAAAATTTTTAGTTTTTATAAAAAACAGTTAAAGTAGAAATAAAAAAAAAAAAAAATTAAATGATAATTTTTTATAGCACATTTTTGCATTAAAATTAACAAATAAAAACCTTATATTAAATAAGGAAAAGTAAATCAGGAAATTTAACGTAAAAAAAAAATTTTTTTTTTTTTTTTTTTAATTAAAAGAATTAATTTTTTCAAAATTATGTATTCAAAAAATGTAGATAATATATTATATATTATTGAAAGAAAAACTATATTTATCTATAATAGAGTAATTCTCTCTTATTTTTTTATTTCCTTTATTTAACATATGAATTTGTAAAACTAACAAATTTTATAAATATACTTTTTTGTACGGTTATTTTCACAACTTTTTTACAAATTTAATCTTTCATCTTTAAAACTAAAAAAAGAAATAAAATAAAAGATTAAATAATAATATTAATAAAAAAAAAATATATATGAAAATTTTTCCTATGTGTGTATAAAATTTGCATTTTTTAATTGTAAAAGTTTAACCTATAATTTTTATATCATAATGAAAAAAGTTATAAATAAAAAAAAAAAAAAAAAAAAGTACATATTTATTCATTAAAAACAAGTAAGATTAAAACAAGAAATGAAAATGTATATCATTAAAAAAATATAGAGTATTTCCTTTTGTAGAGGTGCTATAGCTTATTGCTTTTAGAAAAATAAAAAGATGAACAATGTCTTTAATAAAATTTTTTTTTTTTCTTTTAAAATTTTAGATAAGTGTTTATGAAAAAATTATTTTAAAAACTAATAAAAGAAAACAGTAATTATTAATATAACAAATTTTATACTATTTATTTTTTACATTTTCCAAATTCTATAAAAAGAAAAAAAAAGAAAAAGGAAAAAGAAAAAGAAAAAGGAAAAAGGAAAAAGAAAAAAGAAAAAAGAAAAAAGAAAAAAGAAAAAATAACATATATATTAAATATTCTACTACACAAGTATATTTTTAAATAAATATAATTGATTATTTTTTTTTAAACGTATTTAATACTTTATTTTTTTTTTTTTTTAAAATCTATATAAAAGAGTAAAAATGTATATATGCAATTATTTAAATATAAAGAATAATGTAATCATTATTAAATAAAAAAAATTTTTTTTTTTTTTTTCTACCTAATTTAATATATATGAGAAATTTCAATTTGTTCTTATGAATTTAATTTATATTTTATAAAGATTTCTTTACATATAAAATGTACAAAATTGTTAATTTTAAAAGAGAAGCAATAAGATTAAAATATAGACAAGTATTTTTATATGGTTTATATTTTTTTCATCATATAAATTTTTTTTTATGTATAATTAAAAAGTTTTAAAAATAGTATTATGTAGGACAAGCATATAATAAAAACAAAAAATTAAACCTACTGCAAATAATTTGTAAAAACTTAAAAAAAAAATGAAATAAAAATTAAAAAGAAAATTCTGCAAAACTAAAAAAATAAAAAGAAACAATAATTTGTAAATATAAAAGGATAGTTTTTTTTTAAATAAAATTTATTTAAAAAACTAATATTATTATTATATAAAATATTAAATTAATACATATATTCTAAAATTAAGATGTTATATTTTTTTATTAAAAATTTTTGTCTTTTAAAATTTAAATGACTTAATTAATTTATATATTTTTATATATATTTTTGATAAGCATCTATAAATAAATCAATTTCTCCTTGTAACAAAACTTTATCAATATCACATGAATAAACATTTGTTCTTGTATCCTTTATCATTTTATTGCCATATAAAATATAATTTCTTATTTGTTCTCCAAAGTGAGTTAAACTTTTGTTAGCTAATTCATATTTTTTATTTTTTAATGCTTCCATTTGTAAATACAGTAGTTTTTCATATATGCTTTTTAAAGCAATTCTTTTATTTAAAATTTGTGATCTTTCATTTGATACTTTTACTGAAATATTGGTCGGTTTATGTAAAATTCTAACAGCAGTTTCAACTTTGTTAACATTTTGCCCCCCCTTACCACCAGATCTCATTGTTTGAATTACTAAATCGCTTTTATTTATTGTAATTTCATTCATTTTATTATTATTATTATTATTATTATTATTATTATTATTTTTTTCTTTTTCTAATGTTTTATTATTTTTTGATGAAGTTTTTTCAGCATTGTTTAAAAAATTTATTATATTAACATCATTATAATTCAAAGTTGGGATTACATCAACTTTTACAAAAGAAGTCATTCTCTTATTTTGTGCATTAAATGGAGAATATCTTACTAATCTATGAATTCCTTTTTCTGAAACAAAATTATAAAAACTATATTCTCCTTCTATTTTTATTTCTACCTTTTTGAGACCTACTTCATTTTTACTTATGTCAATAACTTCGTATTTTATATTTTTTTTATTTTTAATTTTCGATAAATATTTCATATACATATTATACAACATATTACAAAAATCACATGCCTCAGTTCCACCTGTTCCTGATGATAAAATTAAGGAACATGAATTTTTAAAATATTTTGAATAATTTTCTACATCTTTTTTTATATAAGAACTTAAGTATTTCTTGTTTATTTGTTTTACATTTTTAGATAAAAAAAAATAACTTCTTAAAAGTGCAATATTTTTACATTTAATAGACATAATCGAAAAAAATATATATATCAAAATTAAAATGAAATTCATAATTTTCTCTTCAATATATATCTTCTTTTGATTCTATAAATATATTTTCTATAAGCATTTTTGTATATATTTCATTAAAATTTTCACTTTTTGTTATATATGACAACTTTTTTTCAAATTTGTTTATTTTGATGTTTAACATTTTTTAATTTATATATTTTTAAAAATATTTATATTCTTTAATAAAGAATTTTTGTTTTTTAGTGAATAATTTGAATTTTTTTCATTCATTTGATTTACTTAAAAATATAAAAATAATTTTTCTTAAATATGTATATTATAAATATTATGTTTATATTCCAAAAAATAATTAAAAAAAAAATTTATATTTTCTACAAATATTAAAAATTAATGCATTAATGAACATACATAATTCAACATTATTTTAAAAAAATACAATTTTGTTAAAAAAAAAAGGAATTACTATAATTTTTAATTTATATTAATTTTTTAATATTATAAGCATCATCCTTAAGTATCTTTGATTTTTTATTTATTCTTTATTTAAAATTTAAAACTTTAAAATTATTTATTTAAAAGGTATTACAATATATATATAAAAAAGAAAAAAAAAAAAAAAATAAATAATGAATTGTAAATTAAAAAGTTATTAAAACAAAATGTATGGAAAATTGAATCAACGTCTTATAATTTATAAATTGTTTTTTAAAAAAAAGAAAAAATCAAAAATATAAAAAATTATTTAAATTTAAAAAAAAAAATTATAAGAATATAAATCAAATTTATAAGTTTAATAAATTATTTATTTTCCATTTTATACTTATATGAAATCAAAATTGTATCTTTCAAATTTAATCATTTAAATTTTTTTTTTTTTTTTTTTTTTTTATCATATAAAATTTACATGACATGGTCAGACATTTTTTCTTTTATTTTTATTTTGCCTTCTATAATTGGGTTTTTTTTTTTTTTTTTTTTTTTTTTTNGTCTCTAAATTATTCCTAATATTGATGCATCAAAATTTTTCTTATAAACATAAACATGATATAACGAACAAATGTCATAATATAATTTAGAATCTTTATTATATCCATGAATTTTATTAATTCTTGATTTAATATTTTCAAAAATATGTTTATCAATTGTTTTATTAATTAAATTAAAATATTTTATATTTTCATATTTTTTGTATGTTTCTAAATTATTAGTTATATAATGAAGGAACATTACTGCTGTATTATTAAATAATTCAACCATATTTAATTCTTCTAATTTTTTTTTTAAATATTTTTCAGGTATGACAAACTCATGTGCATCTATTGTATCATATAAATAAAAATAATATTTGATACCCATAATATTTTCTAAAGAATCTTTTATTAAATTATAAAAATACTCATATTTCATTTTCGTATTAGAATTATTGTTCTTAATATATTCCATGAATTCTTCTAAAATTATCTTATTTTTGAAAATTTTCATTAAATTTTCATTATCAAACTTTATTGTAAATAAATCATTTTCTAATGTTAATGAAAAAGAATCTACATAAAAAAAAAATAAAATAAAATAAAAATATATATATATATATATATATGAATAATTTTATATATAAATAGTATATGATAGTAAGATGTATATAAATTGATTAGAAAATTTTTTTCTTTTATTCTAACCATTAATTATTTCTATATTTGATCTTTTCATTAAAAATTCAGTCAATGTTTGAGTTGATATAGTTGTTGCTAAAAAAATTCCTTCATCTTCTAAAAAATTTTCAATAACTTTAAAAAACTTCTTAGATGACCTTTCATTATAAATAACATAATGTAGAGCCAAATTGATAGAAATTATATCAAACTTAATGTTTTTACTTTTCCATTTCCTATAAAATTTATTATTTAAAATATCTCCTTGTAAGAAAATATAATTATCATTTTTACATAATCCTTTTAAGTTATTTTGATTAAGCCTTTCTTTAGCTAATTCTATTTCCTTTTTAGAAATATCTAATCCAACATATACTGTATTTCTTACAAAATTATATTTAAGCATATCTTGCCCATGACCGCATGCTAAATCTAATATTTTTGAATTAAATGGAACAAAAAAAGAAATCATAATTCTTTTCACTTCATTATTAAATACACGAATATATTTAATATTTGATTTTTTTAATAATATTACTTTTTTCTTATCATAATGTTTTCTTATTTCTTCATTTACATCTCCTATCATTTTAGGATAAAAATATTCAAACTTAGTTGAGCCATTCTTTAATTTATTCATAAAATTAATTAAACATTCAAAATTTTTATAAAAATTATAAATCATATAGTCTATTTTACTCGTTTTTTTTTTTTCAGAGTTAATTATGTTGGTAATACTACTATTATTGTTATCACTATTTGTATTGTTATCATTGCTATCTGTGTTATATTTTTTTTTAAATTCTTTGATAGTCTTATCTATATCTATATGTAAATCTATATTTATTTTGAAATCTTTTTCTAACTCAAATAGTTTACCAATATTTTTTTTCTTATTTTCAGAATATGTGGAATTAAAATTAGAATTAGCATTAGAATTAGAATTAGCATTAGCATTAGAATTAGCATTAGCATTAGCATTAGCATTAGCATTAGAATTAATATTATTTTTAATTTCATACATTTTAATTACATCATAATTATCAGCAAAATCATAATAATTAATATTATAATTTATTTTTGAATTTTTAATTTTTTTATTTTTTGCTATATGCAAATATAAATTACAACCTTTGTATTTTTCATCACAACAAAAATTATAAATAGATATATCTTTTACATATCTCTTTTTTATCTTTATATTTTCTTCATTTAGAATATTTACACTTAAAGAATTTTCATTATTATAAGAATTTAAATCATTCTTTTTATGAAGATAAATATCATAATTATTGAAGTTGGTATCATTACTATTCGTCAAATTTTCATAACAGCTTAAATTTAAACATTGATTGTAGGAGCTATTTGGATAATAAACACATATGGTATCATTTTCTACTTCTTTATATATATTTATTATAGTTTTATTATTTTTGCTATCCAATGAATAAACTATTTTTCTTTTATATAAAATCTTATTTTTATCATTAGATTCATCACTAGAATTATCTGAACTTTTTTCATTTGAGGAATTATTTGTTTCATTTTCACTATCTTCTTCAACTAGCTTTTTTAATTTTTCAATATATAGTTTATCTTTATCAACTATTATTTTTTTTTTTTTTTTTTTTTTGATATTATTATTGAATGAATTCTCTTTTTTTTTTTCTTCATTATATAAATTTATTAATACATCACTTTCATTATTATCACTAGACATACTAGTATTTACCTCTTTATTGCTTCCATTACTCAAAGAACTGGTTTTCTTATCATTATTATTATCACAATTTTCTTCTTCTTTTTTATGATTTTGTTTTTCTTTTTTTATATCATAATAATACAATTCTTCTATTTCAAATTTTTTTTCTAAAATTTTAAATTTATACTTACTTTTATGTATTTTAAAGAGATCAACATAGATAAAATTTAGTGCATCATTTTCTATATTAAATTTATATTTATAGTTATTATTATTTATCTTTTGTAAAATAATTTGATTTATAACTGGTAAGTTTATTAATTCATCGTTAAAGTTTCCTCGTATTTCAACTACACTATTACGAATATCAATATATTTTCTTTTTTTTTTTAAACTATTTTTTAGAAAATTTATAATTTCTATATTTATTTTGTTTTCAATATTCACATATTTATAATCTTCAAATAACACACAAGGTTTTATTTGTGTACAGTTATCCTTATAAAATAAATCAATTTTTATTATATCATTTATTTTTAGTTTTTTTTTAATTAATAAATTAATTTCTTGAAATAAATTATTCTTGCTAATAGTTAATTTTTCTTCATTTTTATTTTCATTTTTTTCTAACGATCCTATTTTCTTTTCTTTTATAAAAAAAGATGAACTTCCTTCTTCATCTTTGTCGTCATTTTGTTTTAAAATATTTTGCCTGTTTAAAATTTTATCTTCATTTTCATTATTACATGAATAGCTATTTTCTATCAATTCTTTATTATTTAAATTATTATTTATATTTTTTTCTACACTTTGATTTATATGAAATGTTTCATTTTTTTTTTCAAAATTTTCATTATTCATATTTACAAGAAACAGAATATAATATTACATTTTTAAATGATAAATTAACATTTAGTTTTACAATAAAAATATTATTTTATTCATAATTTTTTTCTTTTTTTTTTTTAGAAAAATATTATATGAAAAATTTACATTTTAAAATTTCTAAAAGATTGTAAATATCATTGTAATTTGCGAACCCATAAAAAAAAAAAAAAAAAAAAAAAAAAAATTATTTACATAAAAATGAATGTTTTATGTAAGACATATTTATATTTTGAAAAAAATAAGAGAAAAAAATTGAAAAAAATTAAAAAAATATTTATATATTTTTAAGAAAATAAAATGCTAACTTGAAAAAACATATATCTCTATACGCACGAATTCTATTAGATTATTTATTTTATATACTTTTCAAATACTTAGACTTAAATTTTAATCATAAATAATTTGTAAAGTTTAAATTCCTTTAAATAATTTTTACTTTATTAGCTGCTTATAACTTAATTTTAAAATTAGTAAAATCTAACATAAATTAGAAGAGAAAGGCACATATTTCTAAGTATAAATCATATTAAACTATATTTATTTTTATTTAAAAAATTTAACATTTTTAATATATATTAAAAAAAAAAATATATATATATATAAATATATATATATATATATATAAATTAGGTTATTTATAATTTTGCTTTCGAAAAACTATAATAGCATTACTAAATTATTTAAAGAAAAAACAAAAAAAAAAAAAAAAAATAAATTTAGACTAATTATATTTTAGTTAAAAAATTAAAAGATTTTCTTATATAATAAAAAAAAAAAAAAAAAAAAGTAAAAAAAGAAAATAATAATGAAATATCAATTTTTTTTTATTATAAATACAATTTGAAAAAGTAAGATTTTAACTTAGTTGTATATTTGAATAACAAATTGAAAATATACAGAATTTCAATTTTATTTATATAAAACCTATTTTATTATTATTATTTTTTTTTTTTTTTTTTTTTTTTTTTGTGTCTTAGAATTTAAAGAATATAATTCTTTCTTAATTATTATAAACTTGATAAAAAGAAATTTAATTTTTTTTTTTTATAAATTTTTAATATATTTACATATTTACATTTATAATACTCATTAGTTGTAAGATATATTTAAACTTTTTATTTTTTGTTCTCTTTACTCAAAACTTTCTCTGTTTATTTTTTTTTTTGTTAAAAAAAGATAAAATAAATTTAATGAAATATATCTTATTTAGAATACATTGAAATAATATTTGGCATAATTAGAACTTATAAAAATAAAGTTAAACCAAATTAAATAGAAAAAAAAAAAAAAAAAAAAATTAATAAAATGTATAATAATATTACTGATGAAGAAAAAAAAAAAGGATATTTTATTAACACAAATAAATCAGATTATGTAAATGAAATCAAATGGAACACTAATGAAAATAGTTGTAAAAAAAAAAGTCTTTTGAATAATTCGGGTTTAAAAAAAAAAAAAAGTGATAGTACAATTTGTAATGAAGGTAAAAATAATACAACTTCCATGTGCAATAATAGTAATAACACAAATAAAAATGATTGTGATTTTTATAATTCTTATGTTAATGTATTATATTTTAAAAGATTAAAAATAAATAAAAAATTGTTTGAAAAATTAAAAGACAAAAATATAGTCATATATTTAAAATATAAAGATAGTACTTGTGCAAGCGAAAATATAGAAGTAAAAAATTCAGAAATAAATAATTTGTTTTTATGTTTTTTAATATCAGAACCATTTCTTAAAAATGAGAAAAATATAATAAAAATTTACATAAAATATTTTAAAGATGATAAGTATAAAATATTGTCATTTGGATTTATAGAATTAAATTACACCGATTTTAGTGAAAAGTTTTATAGAAAAAAAACATATATGTTATGTTATGATAAAAATAATAATAAATATATTTTTGGTTATATAATAATGATTATGGCTAATCAAAAAAAGTGGAAAATATGTGATAATAAAATTGTCTATGAATATGTAAAAAATTCCTATTTTGTTTGTAATAAAAATAATTATGATAAGCAAATTTTTTATATTTGTAAAAAAATTCAGAAAAATATATTAGAATCATTTAATACAAATGGGATTAATGAAACAAGATTTTTACAAAATCAAACTTTGTTGAAACATTTTAGTGTCACTCAAAGTTGCCCTAGCACTTTTTCTGTGAAAAATTCCCAAAAAAATATAAATGAAGAAAATAATATAAATTATAAAAATTATAAATCATTAATACATTTCAATAATATAAAAAAACCAAATTACTATATAAAAGAATGCAAATTAAAAAATATAATTGATGATGATAAAAATAAAAATAAAAATAATATTAATGAATTTGAAGAAAACTTAAATTGTACCAATAAAAATACTATTGATTGTGAAGAAAATAATATTTTAATTAATTCTTATAATTTGAAAAAAGAAAATAACATATATTCTTTATCAAATGTTAATCCAGAAAATCATTCAAAAATTAATTTAGAAAACATTGCAAAAGAAAATTTTAATCAGTGTGAAGAAAACAAAATAAATTCAAAACAAATTAAAGAAGATAATATAACAATACATGAAGGAATTAATAATATAAAAATCAATAATGAAAACTCTTTGAATTATGATAAAAATGAGTTGAATAATTATTTGGGTTATAAACAATCTTACATGGAAAAAAATGATAAACATATAAATGGAGATAAAGTAAATAATCCATTTACTAAAAATAACTTTGATTTCTTTTTATGTGAAAAATTAAAAAATATATTGAATAATGATTTAGATAATTTTGTAAAAGAGATGCAATTTATTCTTAAACATCTCAAAAAAAAGATAATAAAAAAAAATGATTATTTTATAAATGAACTAAAAAATAAGTATAAAAATGAAGTAGAAATAAAGAACAAGAGTGCTATAGAATGTAAAAAAAATGGTTCTGAAGAAGTGAATAATAAAGAAAAGTGTGAACAAATAAAAAAACAAGAACTAAATGAAGAAATTGAAGATGATATAATAAAAATTTTAGAAAATTGCATAAACACGACCTCTTTGTATATTAAATGTGTTTTAAAAGATGGGGTTATAAACAGTTATGAAAAAGATATTTTCATTGTGTATGATGATATTATAAATAATATGAGAAAAGCTTTGCATGAATATATAAGAGAAAGTAAATCTTTAACAAATGAGGATTTAAATGAAAATAAATTGACTGCTTGTTTAAATAATTCAAATACAAATGAAAAAATTGTTGTAAAAAATAAAAAGGATGAACTTTCAAATGATGAAACAAACGAAATGCAAACAAAAATATATGATGAAAATTGTCTTACACATAGTAAAACATGTTTTTCCTCTTATGAACAAAATAATGTTTATTCTAACATTAATAGTGATGAAACTTTATGCTCATCATCATCCTTCTGTGCACAATCTTCGATAAAACATTCAAGAAGCCTTAATGAAAATTTTAAAGTAAATAATTATATAAATCAGAATATATCAACAGCGTTAAAATATTATGAAAAGAAATGGAAAAATAAATTGTTAAAAATGAGAAATCATCTCTAAATAAAGAAAAAAAAAGCAAAAAAAAAAAAAAAAAAAAAAAAAAAAAAAAAAAAAAAAATAATAATAGTAGAATTTTTTCTAATATTTAGTTTTTTATTTTCTTTTTCATCGTTATATAAGATGAAAAAAAAAAAAAAAAAAAATTTTCTATATTTGTTTTATAAAAATAACTAACAATTGTTTTTATTTTGTCATTTTTTCGTAGTTTATATTTTTACCGATTAGTTACATTTGAACTTTTTTTTTTTTAAATAAGAAAAAAAAAAAAAAAAAAAAAAAAAAAAAATAATAATAGTAGAATTTTTTCTAATATTTAGTTTTTTATTTTCTTTTTCATCGTTATATAAGATGAAAAAAAAAAAAAAAAAAAATTTTCTATATTTGTTTTATAAAAATAACTAACAATTGTTTTTNNNNAAAAAAAAAAAAAAAAAAAAAAAAAAAAAAAAAAAAGTTAAACTCTATATTTATTTGTTTTAAAAACTAATACTAAATTTTTTTATTTCTATTATTACTTTTTTATTATTCAATCATTTTATCAAAATTTTCAACATGTAGTGTAAATAATTTGAAAAATTCTTAGACAAAAGATTAAATATTATATGAAATACAAATTTTTTCATTTCTCTTTTTAAGTGTATAATTTACTTCTGAAAATATATGTACAGTCATTCTTTTTAACCTATTTTTATTACTTTTTATTAATAATTTTTATATATTCTAAACCAAATAAGGTCTGTTTTTCTATTTTTTTCCTTAATAGATATTTTATTTTTCGTTTGTAAATAATTTCTTATTAAAATATGGTTGTCAAAATAATAAAAAAAAAAAAATGAAAAGTTTAATTAAAAGTAAAAAGAGTGTATATTAATCTTAGTTTTTTTCTAAATATGTGCTAATTATAGTATGTATCTAGTTTAAGTAACTATTATTTTCTATTTACAAAAAATAAACCTTATTCATTTTTAAAAAAAATTAGATATATATTTTCATTCAATATACTTTTACTATTATTTTTTTTTTTACATCTTTACATATATAATTTTTTATGGAATTTTAATTTGTGTAAATTTCATATATATTCAAATAACTATATGTTAAAAAAAAATTTTAATTTTTTTAAAATTTTTTTCTAGAATAAAAATTCATTATTATAAATGTATAGAATTTTTAAAACAGTTTAATTATCCATTTATTTTTTTCTTTGTTTTGTAAAGATATAGATAATTTTTGTAGAACACTGCCTTTTGTTTTGTTTTTTTTTTTTTTTTTTTTTTTTTT